AGAATGTTAACTATGTTTTAAATTTTAGATTAATGATACCAAGAGAACAATATGTTTAGCATCTTTTCACAGACGCTGTACCTACAGAATATTTGTTATAAAAAGTATGTAGTAGGCATTTGTGAACACTAATATAAAAAAGTTGAGTTAGAATCCCGCGATTAGAATATTTAGTGGAATAGCTGCGCCTTTTGGGATTTAATGTGGACTATACGTACGAAGGTAGTTTGAGGTAAAATTTTATATGGAATATAAGTATGAAATAAGAAATAACGATCTCATGACGAATTTACAAAAAAGTGCAAAATGATACGACCAAATCTCAACGATCCTTCGTCGAAATGTTGTGTTACGAAACACCATAAATCTTGTAAATAAAAACTGCGCAATGCTACACATTGGACGACCAAAATGGTCGATTAAAATCAAAAATAAACTACAACAAACGCGCTTTGTCTTACTCGTGTCTACAACAAGCTTTTATCGTGGTCGCCCGCGCAGCCTCGCCGTGTCGTGCCTTGGGCAAGCGATCCCTAAAAAATCTCAAAGGTAAAGTGGCGCGCTCAGGTAAGGCCGCCATCTTGTTCCTTTTTTATACTAAATTTATTCTTTTTCTATAACCCGCATGTTTTATAGCTTGTTAGGCAGTTTGTTATCGTCGCTAGTTTACTAATTATAGCGGGAACACCAGTGGCAGGAAACGTTCATTACCGACTGTTGTTTGAGAAGGTTTGTATTGCTTTTGCTTGCTAACATATAATTTAGACTGGTGGCAATGAGATACATTTAAATTAAATTAAAAAAACTCAAAGTTTGTTTTTCGGTAGAATAATTATGTTAATGCCTATTATAAAGGAATAAGTTCCATTTTTTCTGTAAAATATCATTAGAAAAAGAAATCAGTGTTGTTTTTAATTAATGAGATCTCAATCAGATTAGCCACACAGGAAATAATGGTGTTATTTAAAAAATGTCGTACATTTACATAAGAAGCGATATCCCGTGATTGAGGAAATAACTGTATAATTATAAGGCTTCCGTAATATTTAATTACAAATAAGGGATTGACAATGCAACAAAATGAACTCCTTTCAACTACATGTGTTAAAGCTTTTGTGTAAAATCAAAATGTACTTTCATGAAATAATAGATATTTTTTTTTGCTTTGTGTCCCATTTTGTGCTAATTTCATGAAGAAGTGACAAGTGAAATACTAAAATTTCTGTTCAATTTGTAAAATTAATGGTGTAAATAGGTAATAAATAAAATACCATTTATTAATGGTCCGGAATCAGAAACGGCAGTCGACAGGGTTCAAGAGGGAGAGGGACATAAGTAAACTTATGTTTTAGGAAATGAAACTATTTTTCCGGATTTAAATCGCGTATATTTGATTTTTCAAACAAACCGACGTTTCGGGCCCTTTACAGGTCTCATGGTCACAGTCAACGGTGACTAAAAAAATAGTTTCATTTCCTATGTGTAACAATCGCGAAAACCGAAGAACTCGATATGAACTTATGTTCTATTTTATATTTAATTTGCTTAGAGGCGCCAACGCCTTGTATGGGGTGGTTAGCATTTTATTTTAGCAAAATAAATGAAGAAAATAATTATAATGATATCTGTATCGACACGAGATTTTATTTCTTCCATTTGTCCTTCCTTCGTATTGTCACGGATTTTTAGACATACTTGAAAACCTAGAAATCTATCCAGTATAGGTACCTAACCAAAACCTTTAGGTACTTACACAAAAACCTCATGTCATGTCATGAGTGCCTACGTGATTACTAAAATTATACAGTTTACTTATACTTACTGTACAGCCCCATATCCTTCAACATTTATTTTGATCATAGTGGCCCTAGACGAGAAGGGCACTTTAACCTTTGCGTGTACAGGAACCTTCTAAGTTCAGGTTCTGACCTCAGATCAGCCAGTCTACTGGGTTACCACAGATCGTTGTCACGGGCTTCATCCGGTTCTCAAGAGGGTAGTGCGTCGCGTGCGGCGCCCCGGGGTGCACGTAAAGTACGCTCCCTATTTTCCAGATAGGTACTGGAGCTGTAGGCACGCTCACTTCCCATTGCGTATTACACAACTAGCGGTTGCCACCGTTAAGCCGTCGACTCTAATGTTCACTACCAAATTTTGTCATTGGTGGCGGAGCTGTAAGACACGCCTACTTCCTGACGCCGAAAAATGGTGTCTCTCTAGTTCCCAATAATCTAAGTATTTGGAGAGACCGGAGGATATCTAGCTCATACTAGCTCTCTGGGCTAGTGCCGTAGATGCCGGTCACAGTGTCCGGTGACTATCTCAGGACATGGCTTCCGACTTAAATTAACTTAGGCCCTCATCTTGACCGCTTGAAGACGCGCTAGCTGCGCACGAGACAGACGCCACGGCTACACAGGGCAGATAAACATGTCTGTCACTGCAGCTCTCCACAAACCCCAGCGAGTGAATACCGAAGTCCGGGTCGACCAGAGGCTGGTCCTGCCGGCGAGCAGTCTCTCCGGAACACCCTATTTCTAGGGTTGTTAGATAAGGACCTTACTGTACCTTAGGTTCAAATACACTTTGTAGCAGTAGAGCTCCTTGTGAAAGAGTTCGTCCGGGGAAGTTCTGCCATCTAACCTATTTCTGCCGCCAAACAGTTATGCTCCCATTACTGCGTTCCGATTAGGATGGGTATAAGGGTGCTACTGATATTTCAGGCACTTGAGACTTATCAACTATGCAAACGCATGCTCGTGAAACGCGCGACTGCATCGCTACACTTGCGATTTATAGGCGATTGTATCGATGCAAACGCACGACTGTATCACTACAAACGCGCGATTGCATCGATGCAATCGCCTATAAATCGCAAGTGTAGCGATGCAATCGCGCGTTTGTATCGATGCAATCGCGCGTTTGTATCGATGCAATCGCGCGCTTGCATTGCGTTTGCATTGCTGCTTAAAATCGCGCGCGTGTGTAAAGGTAAACGTTTAGCAACTGCATCGCGTTTGCATCGCTGCTAAAAGGCACCATGTGTAACCGCTCTAAGATCTTTGGGATTTAAAGCTCTGAGTGGCACTGCAACTGTCATGGATAGGCGTGTCGCTTACCACGAGGCACACGACTAGTTCGTCCCGTCACTTGGTATTAAAAAAAAGTATTTACTTAGAACCAGGTATAACTACAATCAATGCGAAGGTTTCATTTTTACAAGCATATCAATTGCAAGTAATTCCTCGAGGCACATAATAGTTAGGTCGAACTATTTTTGCTGCCTCCCCATCCTGCGTAATCACGGCGAATGCTGCATTGCAGAGGTATTAGTGTTGTGAACTCAATAAGATGGATTTACAGTAGATATCGATTGGGCTTTAAGAATATAAAAGTAAAGAAACATCTATCGGGAATAAGTAGGTACCGATTTACCTATGTTTCTAAATATATCGAATCTGTTGGATTTTTTAAAATGAAGTTGTGTTTGAAATAATTTACTAAACAAACACCGTTTTTTTATCTATAATATTGTGTTGCAGTCGTAACCGTAATTGTCTAAAAAATAATTCGGTTTCAGCTACGTACGACACTAATTTACATCTTCGGATCAAACATGATCGATTTTATCGATAGATACTACCTGTTACTTTTATCGATATGGTCGGTTCTAGCTAGAGCAAAAAGAGTGGATTCATGTAGCCCTTTGTTCTCATAATCAAAGCGCTAGCGTAGTTTTACAGCGATCATGCCCCGCGGCGCCAGAACCTTCGCAGACGATGCCTTCACGCATTTGTAACCCCCCACCACATGGCATTTGCGCTTCCTTATATACTTTTTTCTTATTTAATGTCTACATCATTTAAAATATTATAAATATGTTGTAGTAGACATGATTATATTGTATATAAAACTTGTATATGTAGTAACAAAGTACAAAATATAAATTCAAGATTTTTTAAATTTATAAATATATTGAAAAAGTATCATTCAACCTACTTAACAATATCATGCTAATT